CTACGAGCATGTGACTCAACTCTCAATGAAAACACCTATTTGTAGATGCAAATTTCTTCCTCCTTGTTCTTGGACAAAATTGCACCTACAAAACAAATAATATCTTAGGTCAACGCCAAGAGCCTCACGCGCCCACGATTAATTGGGGGGGGTGCTTTGGCCGAAGAACCTTCGTTGCCAAAGTTAGAATTTCAAGAGAAAAGTGTTTGAAGAATTTTGAGAATTTAGCAAGAGAATTGGAATTGAGTTTTGGAGAGAATGAGGGGGTTTGTATAGGGGTGTGGCCGGCCACCTTGGGAGGAGATGGACCGGCCACTTGGATGGTTTTGTGGGTGAAGTTCATGATTTATGTTTAATTAGCAAATTAATTGAATAATTAATCAATTAATATAATAACAAAGGAATGATTTAGGGGTTACCTTGTAGAGAAGATATGATGAGGGATGGATGAAATAGGTTATAAATAAATACCTATTTGGGCACTTTTGACTTGATTGAAGGATGATTGTCCATTGCTCGCGTGTAAGAATTCCGGTATGCCTGGAGGGTAATTTTGTCATTTTCACCCAAAAATCCACGTGTTGCCTCTTGATTATTTTTGGCTCCACATTATCGGAACAACAACATAAGATTAAACAGAAAAAAAAAAAATCAATGTCTTCATATGGAGGACTTTAGGAATTTTAAAGGGATATACACATTGGCAACATAAATGTGAAGTTGTGAACAATGGCATATTGGCAAATTTCATTACTGGGTCAATTATTAGAGCATCTTCAAAGAAGATATTAAAATCCAAGATGAATTGACATCAAGAGTCTAAGTGTTATTAGCTGATTGGATTTGAAGACTTTATGATTTAGAGTCAAATTTGACATCAATGTCAAATTTATTTTTCATTGTGGGTCCCTTATTACATTAACATTTCAACCAATAAAAATTTTGTTTCAATATTTTTTTAATAACTACAACCATTTAAAGCTCTATTTAAATAATAAAATAACATTTGACAATTTGGTTGAAGAAGTAAAAAATTTGACATACAACTTCAGATTGCCACATCAGTCATCAATTATAATTTAACTCTTATAATTTAACATTTCCTTTAGAAATAGTTTATTTGAATTTTGGGTTTATTTTGGATGTCTGACTCTAAACATTGGTGGTTTTTGTCTAGGAATTAAAAACTGTAAAAGTTTATCTCTGAAGAACTCATAATATTATTGGTTTCTTTTCAATTGTGTATTCAAGCTTCTTAGCCATAAAATGATACTAGATTGGATCCAAGGCTTAAAATATTTGACAACGTATTAAAGTAAAACAAGAAAATGAGTTTTTTAAAGGTTCATGGATTTTAAGTTGGTTTTGTTTTATTAAATTTTCAAATATTTTAAGTATTAAATTTTCAAATATTTTAAGTATTTAAATCTGTATTAATATAATCTTATGACAAACATGCATTTAGTCCTCATAAATCCTCAAAATGAAAACTTTAAAAAAACAGGACTGCCTTTTGTGATGTATACACTAGAACTGCCACATGTTCAAGTACGATTGATATTTCTTGATGGATACGTCCCAACTCCTAAATTAATTATACAAATTTTATTACTAATCAAGTCCGTAGATATTCGTTCTTAGCTCCAACCAGACCTTGGCCCACTTGGGCGATCATATTCCGCATGCCACCAAAATGGACTAATTCAAGCGTTCTAGTACGCCCGACTTTTCGCTCATTTTAATTTGGCTAATAAAAATATCTAGGTATGGGACGAACTTCTCTGCCATAAGGGGCATATAATTTTAATACGACAACAACCAAGTGGGATAAAGACTTGTTAGGGGACTCAAAGTTTTGTCCATATGAGAGAATAAAAACAAATGAATTCGCCTAATATCACTGTTTGATTCACTGGGTAGATAAGAATCAAACTTATTGGACCTCCTCTAGAATAGACTACTGGATCAACAGTTAGTTTTCAAGAAAAAGTAATGAAACGATTATAAATTACATTTCAACTGTTGAGTTGATAAAAATAAAATATCAATGATATATATCATTAAAAAAATATACGACATAACTACAAATTGAAAGCTTCCACAACAAAAAAAAAAAACAAAAAAAAAAACAAAAAAAAACCACAAATTGAAAAAGCTACTCATTTTTTTAACAAATGATATTATCTACAATAGGAAAGATGGTGGGCTTAGCCTCGTAATGGCCTAATAATAATGTGGTTCAAGTTCACCTTTAGCGAAAGTCAAACATAAAACATCTCATTTACAAGTGAAGAGAAATATCACTAGACGATAGTACTAAGTGGCAAAAGCTACTCATTTAAGCAATTGTAATTTTTTTTTAATGAAACGAATTAGATATTTGAAAACTGAACATTCTAGCGAATTTTTCTAATGGTTAGAATAGTCTGTAGGTAACTTAATATGTTTAAGTATTACATTTTAGGCTAAATTATTTTCGTGATCTTTGTGGCGACGCCACACTTTTAATATGATTCTTGTGCTAAAAATGTTATTAATTAAACACTTGTAGTGAGCTCCGTTAGCATTTGAGTTCCAAATTTAAATTCCCGTTAGTCTTCCATGTCTATGGGCACCGTTAGAGGAGATCATGTCTATGGGCACCGTTAGAGGGTGGCCTTCTTCTGCTTATTTTATCAAAGGTTTGCTTCCCTTTTTTCGATTTTATTAATTGGGTTCTGTTCAAAATTGGGTTTTTATCCTTCAATCAATTGAGATTGGATTGAATTGTGTGTTGTGGTTGATTTAATTGGATCATCTAATTTGTTTCTGCATCTGGGTTTGTTTCTGAATTGTGTGATTTTATATCTTTAGGTGAGATCGTGAGGTTGATTTCTGGGTTTGGTTTTGAGAAAAGGGTAGAAGAAAGCGAGGAGAATCGAGTGAGAGAGGAGATAAAAATAAGAAAAAAAGATTTGAAGCTGATGTCAAATTTGACAGCAACCCCCTTGCTGCTAATCCATGTCTTAGCCACATATAAATTGACATTTCAGTTGGAGAATATTATTGTGATTTTTTTTTACTGTTATAGCTTATGTGGACATTTTGACATCTCCTTTGGATACGCTCTTACATGTTTGAAATAAAATTTAACGAGTAATATTCCATGTTGTGTAACATTTTAAAGGGAGCAAACTCACACCCATATACTCTATAAATATGCATAACATTTTACTACCGTTACCTCAAACACAACACTCTAATTTCCATATCCATCTCTAGAAGCAAATCACACCCTTCAAAGAAAAGGGAGAATTCATTTTATACTTTCGAAGTAAAGAAATTAAAATGGCTGAGAAAGTAGGAGCTGAGAAGTACCAGGAACAGGAACCAGCAACTGGGCGCTCCGGAGGTGATCATGAAGCTTCAGCCACAACGCAATCCGAGGAACTCAAACGCCAGAAGAGAATTAAGATGTACAAATACATTGGCATTTTCATCGTCTTTCAAATTGTTGTCATCAGCGTTTTAGGTTTGACTGTGATGAAAGTTAAGTCCCCAAAAATCAGGTTGGGCAACATCTATGTCCTAAGTCTCAACTCTGTCCCAGCCGCACCTTCATTCGAGATGAGCTTCGAAACCCAAATCAGAGTCAGGAACTTAAACTGGGGTACCTATAAGTTTAATGACGGCATGGCCACGTTTATGTACGAAGGTGTGCCTGTTGGGCAAGTTGCTATTCCGAATAGCAAAGTCGGAATGCGGTCCACGAAAAAAATTGATGTTTTGGTGAGTGTGAATTCTGCAGCCTTGCCGAGCAACTCCGCTCTTGGAAATGAGCTGAGCAGTGGGCTACTGGTGTTGACCAGTCAAGCCAAGTTGAGTGGAAAGGTTACTTTGCTGATGATCATGAAGAAAAGCAAGTCTGCTGAAATGAGCTGCTCTATGGTGTTTAATTTGGCAGCAAAGTCTGTCCAAAATTTGGATTGTGACTGAGAGAATATGGCCGCTATACCATGAGCCAATTTTATTTTTATGTTTCCAGGTGTGATTTAATTTTCACATACTTAATATTCACATATTCCATCATTACATTCTTGTTTGCAATTTGTTGAATTGTGTCTGCATTACTGGAGGAAGTTTTAAATTCAAACCTCACAAAAGACAATTGTTCGATAAAAACAGTTCATATATATTTCTATTTAACACTAAAGAAATCAATAATAAATAAAAGAAAGTGAAATACCATAGCTATAGTTTAGTGGGAGTGCTTGAACTTAATTAGAATTTGACATTGGGCAACAATTATGGACCTGGACTTTTTTTTCTTGTAGTTGGTCGTACTGCTAGAGTTGATTATTCAGCTTTGAATATGACGTTTTATATGAGTTGCTTCAAAAGTGATCTAATGTCCCAGAACTTGTATAAAATTTATATATTATAATATATATTGCTAAGTTTTGCATCATATATTTTTATTTTTAGTTTGTACTATTTTTAATTTGCAACCATTTTTTTTAATTGTACCAATTTTCTTTTCAGTTTTAATTTGTACCCATTTATTAATTTCTTTTTGTCCATATTTTCCAAACTTTTATTTGTACTCATTTTGTTTAAACATTCTTTGAACCAATAATTTATTAATAATGAACCCATTTGTCTTTAAAAATGTCCCACTTTGTTATATGTAAAATGTACCTTTTTTTTTTTTTAAGTACCATTTTTTTATGTAAAATGTACCCATTGTTTTCTGATATAAAATGTACCAATTATTTCATATAAAACATACCACCTTCTTTGTATAAAATGTACCAACTTTTTGTATGTAAAATGAACCGTGTAAAAATTACCAATTTTTTATGTAAAATATCATTAATATAAGTAATGACAAATCATGAGTTTTATTTAAGCATAATTTATCTTAATGATAAATCATGTCATGAAGATAAATTATACTTTTTTATATAAGTTTAATTTAATTTTTAATATTATCAATTCCACAAATTATGAATTTTATTTAAAATATCATTAATATAAGTAACAACAAAATATCAAATTTTAATTTAAAATTATAATAACCTACATAAAAATGCATCATTGTATTAATTTCAAGGACTTCAATAAAAAAACTGAAAACTAACAAAGTTTCGATAAAAATATTAATAAATAGGTTTCGCATCTAAAGTCACCCATTAAGTTATTACGGGATCACTCTAACAAAGTAATAAAAAATGAGTGCTAAGTGAGTGAGATAAATAGGACATTTGGTATGCATACCCTGTCATTAAAAAGGAAATTCACAATTGGCAATTTGTGGAAATTTTGTTTATATCTGAAACACTTGCCACGTATCTATTTGTATTTAGTCTTGGGCTAGTTTCGCTTTTTAATAGTCTTGTTGAGATGTATACATTTGAATTTAATTTTTACTAATATAATTACTGATTGATAAATAATAAGTAAAAAAACGTGTTACGTGTTATACCATTTTATGTGTTATAATATAAATATGCGATATGATTGATATGTCATATTTTAAAGTATATCAATTAAAAATACGTATTTATTTTATAATTTAATGAAATTGTAACATCATGTGCCTCTCCTCTGAAAACAAGATAAATATCTCTTTAGATCATGGCCCAAAATAGCAAAAAACAAGAAATAGTATCAAACAAAATAACTTGGCATTGACAAAAAAAATCATAAAATATCTACGGATGAGTGATATTTTTATTAATATCTTTGTTTCTTTTGTAAAAGACCTATAAATACTCAAAATAAAACACATAAAACACCTTTCGATCAGATGGTATAAAATCAAGAATATACTTCCCCTACAATTTAAAATCCGCAATGTTACATTTGCACCATACCCATTTTATTCTCAATATTTTGAGAAACATATTATCTTGATTGGCAATTACTTAGCCCCTAAACCCTCGGCCATGTTTGATTAGTCAGGTCTTCAACAACGTTCATTCTTCAAGTACCCAAATTACTTGTATTTGGGACAACAGTGTGAATTACATTTAAAAAAAACCCAAATAGTATATCAAACAAACCACGTTCTCACCTGGGATATTGGGGGATTTAGTCTTAATGCCAACGGAAAAATCGAAGCTTCTGTTGATATTTTTTTTAGCAAAATAAAGGTTCCTCTTGATATTTAATTTGTCTCATCGGATGGCAAAACCCTAAAACGTCCTCACCGAAGTCATCGATCATCTAGAAGTCAAGAACCTTTGGCTTCGGACGCGTGTACTTGTTGTGGGAAAGCACTCCTGCACATAACTTATTAAAAATAGTCCAAACTCCAAACCCTATATATAATACACAACTCTTCCTCCATTTCCACCAACAACTTCCTCCATTTTTAAGTTTCATTCAAGGAAACAAACCCACAAAAACTTTCTACCCATTTTCATATCACAAAAGAAACAGATATTAATATGGCTGAGAAAACCAACCAGGGCTATCCCTTGGCACCAGCAAATGGTTACACAAGAAGTGATGCGGAGTCTTTGCAATCAGCCGATGAGCTGAAACGCAAGAAGAGAATCAAGTTGGCCATTTATATTGGTATTTTCATTGTGTTTCAGATCATGGTCATAACTGCGTTGAGTCTCACTGTTATGAAAGTTAAGACCCCAAAGGTCAGACTAGGTGGCATCAATGTCCAAAGCCTCAACTCTGTCCCAACAACAGCTTCATTCGACACTAAATTCACAACGCAAATCAAAGTCAAGAACACAAATTTTGGTCCATACAAGTATGATGCTGCAATCATCACGTTTTTGTACCAAGGCGCGATTGTCGGGCAAGTTTCAATTCCTAAGAGCAAGGCTGGGATGCTTTCCACCAAAAACGTTGACGTCGAGGTGAGCTTGAGTTCAAGTGCATTGAGCAGTTCCAGTCTTGGCAGTGAATTGAGCAGCGGGGTATTGACACTCAATAGCGCGGCTATGTTGACTGGAAAGGTTGAATTGATGTTTATCATGAAGAAGAAGAAGTCTTCTACCATGGACTGCACCATTGCATTTGATCTGTCATCCAAGACGCTACAAAGTTTAAAATGCAAGTGAAAACAGACCAAGATTATTTCTTTGTACTCGTTTTAAATTTCTGTGCAAATTTATTTTTATATTTGTTGCCTTCTAATTAATTTTGTTGGTATATATATACTTCCTGACCGCAATTTTTGCATTGCGCCTTTTTTTATATACAGATTGGCAGTGTTGATTACTCTCTTTTTTTTTCTTTCTTTTTTATTTTTATTTTTTGTGAAGATGCCATAATGAGATAAGATTCAAATTTCTAATAAATCTGAAGAGTGAAAATCAACAGATACTACAACTTGTAGTCTGTGAATAAAATTAGACCTGACAATTTCTTACACGATACGTAAACGACATGAAACTAACGGGTTTTGAGTCAACACAATAACTAATTAGGTCGTTATCGTGTCACACGATAAGAACCTATTAATAACGGGTCCTTAATAGATTAACATGAGGATGACACGCGGGTAACCCGTTTCGACACGTTAAGAAAAATGTTATTTTGATGATTTTAATTTTTTTTAAACTAATAAAAAAAACTTACTACAAAATATAATAGGCATAGTGTGGTGTGTGTGTGTGTGTGTGTGTGTGTGTATATATATATATGTATATCAAATATGTATTATTGTATTATTATATTTAAGTTTTATTTATTTATGTATTTATTTTTATAATATACTATACGAAAAGAGAGGGAGATTAAAAAAATTATAAAACACATAAAAATAAAAATATCAAAAGTAATTTAAAAATACCAAACACATTAAAAAAATTATAATAATTATTTGATAAGTGCAAAAAATGTGAAAAAATCGGCAAACGCTCGTGAGCGTATCCTCTACGCTTTGAGGATGGGTACATCGCCATTTCAATTTTTAGAATCATGCAAGCCCTCATGAATAGTATATTTAAGGTAGTTCAAAATAAGTAAAATTTATAATAATTAATGTATAGGTCTGAAAAATGTGAAAGCATATATAAATACTCGAGATTGCATCCTCAACCTCGAAATGCAACTCTTTTCATTTTGCATATCCTTGAACATTTGGTATTTTGTAGTAATGTACTAATGTTTTTTTCATTAGGGTCTTATTTTGGGGTCCATAATACTTGAAAGACAAATGTTTTTTTTTTATTATTTTTTTTAATGTTTTGAAGTAACGTTTATGTGACAATGTGATATGCATATACTAATTTAGTACTAGCATATGGGCACACACAAAGTGTGTGAGAAAAAATTTTATTTTTGTTTTTGAAATAGAAGGAGAGAGGAAGAGAGTGATAGAGAATGTGGGAGCCGGAAGTTTTTTTTTTTTTTTTTTTAATTAGAGATATATTAGGATTACATGTAGGTGAGACTTTGAAAAAAAAAAGGGCAAAATTTGACTGTGGGAAATTACATTTCTGCCCCATATTTCTTATTCATGTTCTATTTTAATTAGAGGTTTAAACTGGAAATTTCATATAATTTTGGTTGACAATGAGTGTTTTATTAATTAGTAGAGATTCTGTTTTAATTAAAGGGTTAAAATGGTAATTTCATAGGGTTTTGGTTGACCATGAGTATTTTATTAATTAGTAGGGATTAGTAAAGATTATGGTTTAGATTTTTTTAAGTCAATTATATTTTTCAATTTCATTATTTTTTAATTTAAAATATATTTTCTTTAATGGGTAAAGGGTCGGGTCATATTACCTAATAATATTAATGGGTCAATTTCGGGTCGGGTTATATTACCCTTTTGCTTTAACGGGTGTTACATGACACAACCTGTTAAGCTATTGAGTATATCACGAAAACAACACGAACATGAGAAACACGACACAAATGTCATGTCTAAATAAAATTATGAAAAGAAGTTGATTAAGTGGTCAAATATTTTATTTGATGGAAAATAGTGACCCCCTAATTTCCTCAAAGCAATGTTTGCTGATGGGCCAACTTTTGTTGACTATAACTAAACACATAAAATGAAATTATTACTTGGCAAATATTATGTCTCAAGAGTGGACAAGGCACAAGTTGTGCTCATGTAGCAGTTGAGTACAGAGGACGTTGTCTATTTTGTCCACCTCAAAATGCCTCCCATGTCATATATGTCTTTGTATGGATAATATAGTAATGTTCTCTTATCAAATATCTAGCATATATATAATGTTACATCAGTGGTGTAACTCCAACAAATTTAATGATTAAAATATTGTCATGTATTTAAGGAGCCATTTTAGCTCAACCTTTTAATAGATTTTTTTTTTTTTTTTTTTTTTAAGATAATCGCCAAAGATTTCCGTCTTGAACAAGGACCACCAAATAGTCCCTAGCAAGTAGGTAAGGAAGAGACTGTTTAAGGCCACCAATAGCCGAACATGGATCATGGGCCTTGGACTCAATCAAGGAGGAAACCACAGTGATCCGATTAACCAAAAAAAATTTCCACCTTGAAAAAGGGCCACCCTCACTATCAAAAAGTTTGATTGTAACCTCGTTATAGCTTCTTTCTTTTTTTTTTAACAATTACTATTTATGGGGTCATGATTTTCAAGGGTCGGAGTAAGACGGATCGGAATATGAATACCTTAGAAGTGCAGTCATGGAGTCAAAAGTTTATATGATGGAGTTGTACAGGCGGACCATCTACACCACCATCATCCTGATCCAAATAAGTGAGCGAAGTCCGTCGACTTCACTGAGATTGACATTCTAATTCTGTAAGATAGGAAAACTTGATCATTTATGCAATTGGCCAGGTTTCCTTTATTCTTGGAGATTCCTATAATCTAGGGATTTGGCGTGCGCAGCAACTAATCACACTCTTAAGAGAATGCAATATTTACTCCTAGATATCCTCTGTGATTTTACCTGTTAAATATGGATCTTGTACCTAAGAAGACTATCTCTCGATTGACATAAATACACACATTTAAGGTTCATCTTGGGTAAAAAAAATCGCATACTCTATTATCTTGCCTACTGCTTAAGTCTTATAAATTGCTTACTAACTTGACCATCAAAGAGCCTTTGGCCAACACCCAATTGGTGCCAATGTTACTTGACGATTTGTTTACTGTTTTACTTGTAGTGGATCTGCATCTCCTATTCTCACGATGGTGAGCGAATTTGGTTCCAACAATTAGTGCCTTCGTTGAGAGTGAACTTATATTTGCTTGACCAAATCACTATACTACAAGCATCATCGATATCACTAAGGACCCTTCATCGAACTACACATGGTTTGATTCTTCAACGACATGAAAAGATATTTAGGCAATCCATTATGAATTCAACCACAATGAATTTCAACGCCGCTCATCTACACATAGGCTAGGAGAAACATCTCCAAAGCGTACCTAAATCAAGGCACCTTCGTCAAAGATAATCCCTGATGTAAACCATACATTGTATAATAAGTTGTATTGTGTTATGATTGTTGTATGTTCTTTTGTTGTTATCTCTTTTTTGTGGTATAAGGAATCCCCTAATATTCTAAATAACACACAGATTTCAAACTTCGCACAATTGTTAGTCTAGAAATTTAAAATGTTTAATGCCGAAGGAGTCTCTTATAGCCCACTTCATGGTGTTCTGATTAGCAGCTTAGGAGGCTCAAGCCGTCTAGGCGTGGTTATGAAAGGCAGACCACGGACACAAGAACATGGCCCCCTGATCCAGAAGTTCCAATGGACCATCTGGCTTCCAGAAAGATTATGCAACCCCTAAGGGTTAGGGGTTATAACATCCAAACTTGGGCTCTACGCTATTCAAGGGAATAATCAAAAGGGCGATCTGCAAATCATATGAGGAGTGGCTCTGAACTCCGACCCGAGTAAGATTACTTCTATCACAGACCAAGGTATTATGCCAAGTATGTTTTGCGGTCATCTTGTGCCTAAGTAGGTCAATTTGAGGCATCTAGACTATGAAATCCTCAAGATGATTTATATTCCAGTGGAACTCCGATGCGTGGACATGCCTTAGCCAAGTTAGTTAAGTGTAATTCGATCACAAATGCTCAGTTTGACAAAAGGATTTCAAAGGTGTTTCTAACCTACATGCAAGTGACCAGGTCCCTGACAAACTTTTGTTTAAGATTCATGATGAATGGACACACAATTCAGGTTAAGAAGAAAGCCCCTTCTTGGTGACATGTTATGACTATTAAATCCTCAAACCCCGAATGGGGCAAGATAAATGATCAAACAAACACAAAGTCTTGTTTGAAGGAAGAAGATCGGAACAACATTAAGAATGAAAACCACTCAGGACCAACTCATCACTTTCTCATCCGTAATCCAATAAATATAGTAAATCAACTTTAAAGAAAAACATTTTTCATAGGCCTTAAACCCAGTGTTAGATTAGGATAGTCCTCCAATTATCAAAGTGAAAATATTTATAAACACTATGTTTTGGGAGATAACATTTTTCCAAATCAATGTTATCGAAAGAGGCTTAAAGCTCTGTCTCGGGTTTACAGGCTTAATCGTGTTTCGCTCTGTTACCCATCACTCCAAAGTTGCTTTACTTCAAAAGATTGTTGAATTAAGCTAGATTCCACGAATATGAAAGCAAAGGATGAAAATTCTTAAGTACTCTACTTTAACATGCTTAAAGATCTGAGTAGAATTAGTAAGTGAAAAAAGATAAATAGGGAAATACGATCAGATAGATGTAGATTCAAAAGAGCCAAAGTCCCATGAATAAGGAAAATGACAAGGTGTTCAATTTTGGAAGTGACAAGCCACCTTCTTGGAAAAAAAAAATCGTGTAATGACAAATGAAAGTAAAAAAACTACGACTACACATCATAAGTGGTTCCAACATCGACGACCTTACCCTTGTTCACGACAGACAAATCTTTGGAAGTAGCTTCGGAGTTGGAGGGAGAAATCACTTTAGGCCTTTCCTTGAAGTTGGCACTAGATCCAGCACCCTCAAAAGCCTTAAACTCTACGATATCGTTAGACAGACTCAGAAGAATTGGGAAATTGGCTGTTTTTATCTCCGCCATCTTGTAATAAGAGTCCTAACTGTTACAATGGTCCTATCCAACAAAATAGGTGACAACCCTCGACAATACTTCAACTCAGAAGCCTCTTCAAAAGTTACGCGAATATCTGCTAACTCCACCTTATTCTCGTCCATGGCTAGTTGAAGAGCTTCAGTATGAGCATCCTCATTTAGCTC